CGTGTTTGGCCGTTATGGCTGCCAAAAGGGAAGCTGGTTCCTTCACCATGAGGTGGAGACGCGCGCTTAGGAGTGAGAGAAGCACGACAGAGGAAACTGCCTACTGCTCCTCAGAACACACATGCAGGACAGAATCATGCCAGGGACTGCAATGTGGTTCAAACTACTTTGCTGTCAATAGTGGTGGTCTTGGTTGGAAAACAAAACAAAACAACAACAACAAAAAAACAAAACCAAAACCTAAGTAAGGGCTCACACAGATTAGCAAAGGACTCAAGACAGATTTGGAGCAAATCGATAGCGCAGGTTGTAGTGGGAGACACTGTCCAGACTGACAGTGGGCCACATGAGTGATAGTTCCCAAGAGTCCCAATTACTGTTTGGGGCTCATTTATATGGGGTTCAAGAGAAGGAGCGGTTACCAAGGGCAAAGCTTGGGTCATAGGTTAGGTCATACCCCATTTTTCCTGCTGCACCTGCCTTTATCTATTGCACACTGATCATGCTTGTGCAATGGAGCAGTGCTGTGCAGGAGTGATGAGCACCCTGAGACCACTGAGACCACTGAGGGCTTTTAATGTGCTGTCAAACACGGGGCACGGCTTTTAGAATCACCGTGACAATGTCCAGCTAATGCTTCCATAATGATTTCACACAAGCTGCATCTAAAAATGTGTATGTTGAGTGTGGAGGTTTGAACAAATGTGCCCAGGAGGCCGTGTGCTTACTTACACACTTGGTCCCCAGTTGGTGGCACGGTTTGGGGAAGTTATGGAACCTTTAGGAGGTGGAGCCTTGCTGGAGGATGGACAGCACTGAGGATGGGCTTTTTATAGCTGGGTTCGATTGCTGTTCACTCCCCCTGCTTCCCGAATGCTGATAAAGATAAGATCTCTCAGCTTTCTGTTCTTGCTGCCATGACATCCTGCGATTGTGGACTCTGCCTCTGGAAACCATAAGCTAAAATAAACTCTTTCTTCTATAAGTTGCCTTTGTTATGGTGTTTTATCACAGCAACGAAAAGTAGCTAATACAGAGCGTGTGTACACATATTAAAATTATAGGATATCACATGTGATTTGTATAAACTGTCATATATTCAGGGAGAGCCATGTGTCACTTACGGAAGGGACTATACTGTCAGAGACAGAAGATCCTTTAGGGATTCTGGTGACTTCGGAGACAGAAGAGAGCAGTGTAGGGTTTGAACCCCTGCCCAGCCCCTTCTTCGGTTTCTGTCATGACACGTGCTGCACATTCACACTGCTAAGCAGACAGGCCACGGCAATCCCACTGTTTTAAATCAATAATCACCCCGTGCTTGTTATTTCCTGTTTGAGAGCAGACCACAAGAAACACAACAAAACCCACTGAAGCGTTTTATTAGTAAAGGGTAGGGTGACGGGGTGTGCACAGGCCTGTCTGGAAGAAACATGGAGAGAGAGGAAGTGGGTCTGGCGTGTCTGCTTTTCAAGGTCACTACGTGCATGCATTGGGGGCTAACGTGGCCACGCCATGTGTACATTACGTGGCCAGGCTGCGCATGCGCATAAGGCCCTGGATGACTTGACATTTTGCCTGAATGCTGATGGTGCAGGTAGGGCCAACCCTGGAAATGCTAACACCTGGGATGATTGGGCATTTTGCCTGAATGCTGATGGCCACGTGGGTGGCCGTGAGGCCCAGAAATGACAACCGTGCTAGCGACCTTCAAGGACCTTGCTCCTTCCTGGGCAGCATTGTTAGCCTTGCCTTATTCCTCTGTGGGCCACTTGTCTAACAGCAAGCAGGAGTTGCTGACTGGTAGCCTCAGGGAAACAGCAGACAGTAGAAACACATACCAGACTCGAAAGACTTTATTTTTACCTAATATCCAGCAGGATTTCTGCAAAAATTACGAGTTCAGCACACTTTCATGGAGAAAAGCTACTTGAAATACAATTGAGACAATTTAAAATAAAAAAATTCTCTCATGTGTACAGAAGAGCCAGTAAACAAAACAAAATAAGAAATGAAGTAAGAACAAAACCCCAAGTTCTATATAGCATATTCCTCCTCTTCCAGGTTGACGCTCCATGGACAACTGGGGGACATGGCTCCGGAACACAGGGCCCTCACACTGCCAAGAACACACCCCTCACTCGGGAGGTGGAGGCAGGAGGACTGGACAAGTTCAAGGTCACCCACTGCTGCACAGTGAGACTGAGGATATTTGGGATCCACGAGACTCTGTCTTAATAAAACAAACAAACAAACCAAAAGGCAAAACCAGAACGCCCACGTGACCTGTAGAGGAATTCTGTTCCAGGCAGGGCAGTGAGCCAAAGCGCTTGTTGTTGCGGTCTCTGGAAAATGCAGATTCCGGACATCGGAAGTTGCCTCTGTCAGTTCTTAGACCTCGCCTAGGTCTAAAAATAGGTGTTCTCGTGATCGGAGTTGTTGAGCTGCAGGTATTCCAAAGTGCCTTTTTTGTAGCTGGCCACCCTCGTGGGCCTCCGGCTCTTCGTGCCCGAGGCCTCTCTTTTCTGTAAGGAGCTGATGATCATGTCTGAAAACTCTGCTTGCAGACGCTGTTGGTTCTCCCTGAAAAGTGTGTGGAGAGAGAAAACCTTGTCAGTAATCCACCCAGAATGTTCCTTAGCCTCAGATCCAGTGGAGTACAAAATCACCACTGCCTTCAATGATTGCAAACTGGTTTCCCTGCTGTGTGCCAGTGCAAGACTTCGAAGGCAGGAAATGGATCTTTCTCTTTCAAAGTGAAACATGTTGCTAGAACTGGGGGACATGGTAGAGACCCCAGGGGGAGATCAGGACGCTACCACACAGCCCTGGAAATACACTGGTTCCCCACGTAGCTGTGGATGTGGGGATTGTTTGGAGAAGGCTAAACAGGTCTCCAAAGTTTAGAAAGATCTGGGCAGTCCTGGTTTGAAGTCGGGCTTCCCAGGTTGACTCGGCATCTCTAGTGTCCTGTCTTCTGTCTGTCTGGCCTCTAGGCCTCTGAACAATAGGGTCTCTTTTCCAGCCAAAGCCATCAACACAACAGCAACAGGGCTGAGGGCAGGAGGCCTGCTAATGGAACAGGACAACTTGAGTCACCGTCAGAACTGAAACCTGCTCAGTAGATATGACGTCTTCCTCCTATCATAAAGAGACTGCAGACTCCATGCTAAGTCCCAGGAGCATGGCTTTAGGTGAGGCTGGTGCTGTCCTCTTTAGGGACACCAGCAGACAGGAGGAGGCAGGAGTGGAAATGTATAGTGCTCTTTGCTTCTAGCATCTTCTATTCTTGCTATTGTTGTTTGTTTATTGTGTATGGGTGCTTTGCCTGCTTGTGTGTCTTGTACCATGTGTGCCTGGTGCCCAGGTAGCCAGAAGAGGGTGTCTGGAACTGGAGATACTGATAGCTGTGAGCTGCCATGTGGGTGCTGGGAACCAAACCTGGGTCTTCTTGACTCAAGTCCTCTGAAAGAGCAGCTAGTGCTCTTAACCTCTGAGCCATCTCTCCAACCCCCATGTTCTGTTCTTCTAAGAAGCAAATAGGTATGAAGTGAGCTCCAAGCTGCCTTCTGCTCTCCTGAAGAAGCCAGAAACACAACCCTAGCTTTCTGATGCTTCATGAGCAAAATTTAACCAGCTTTGAGCAAGCGAAAGGAATGCTTTTCATTATTTTTATTTCTGTGTATTTCTGTGTCTGTGTGAATGTCTGCCACGTGTGTGTGGGTGTCTGTATGCCACATGTGTGTGGGTGTCTGTATGCTACATGTGTGCGGGTGTCTGCCACGTGTGTGCGGGTGTCTGGAAGCCAGAAAGAAAGGATCAGATCCCTTGGAAATTATATTGCACATCAGAAACAAACCCAGATCCGCTGGAAGAGCAGCAAGTATTCTTAACTCCTGAGTCATGTCTCCAGCCCCAAGATTTATTTTATTTTTAATTATGTGTGGATGGGCATTATTGCAGTACTCACAGAGTCCAGAGGAGGGCGACATATCCCCTGGGACTAGAAGTACACATCCAAAGTAGTGATGGGAACTGAACTCAGATGCCCTGATCACTGAGCAATCTCTCCAGCACCTCCCCCCCCCACCCCGACTTTGTTTTTGAGACAGTGTCTGTGCAGATTAGACTGTCCTCAAATTCACAGAGACCTGCTTGCCTCTGCCTCCTGAGTGCTAGGATTAAAAGTAGGTGCCATCACACCTGGCAAATCAAGGAGATTTTAATAGAGATAAGCTGTTTGAAATATACCTGGGCAAGGCATGGGGCCATATGCCTGGAAAGCCAGCATTTGAGAGATAGAGACAGGAAGAGAGATGGAGGTCAGTCTGGGCTACATACTGACCTTGTCTCAATCTGTATCTCTCTCTCTCTCTGTGTGTGTGTGTACATATTTATGTATTACTTCATCTATCAATCTATCATCTTGCAACTACATCCTTGGCACAACTAGAAAATAACCCCTAGGAGGACAGAAGGAAACAGAGCCAGTGAAACAAAATGAAATTAAAATCAATGAAGAATGGAATGTCTTCCAGTTCTAGAGTAGCCTCCTTTTGCTTTCCCAGGTGGAACCTCCCTGGGACAAGGGGACAGGAGCAGCCCTGTGTGACCTCACTGAGAACACCCATGTGACTTATGAGAGAAACCTAGCACTGCAGAGCCACAGAGGTGGTGCTATCCATGTCACTGAGTGTCAGGAAGATACAGGCATTCTGGACACTCTTGTTCAGCAGCTGGAGAAGGGAACATTCTAGACTTTCTCACGGCCACAGGCACTTGTCAGGTTAAATACCACCAGGCAGTATCTTGTGTCCACAGACCCAGGACTTCAGACTCTTCGCCCTTCCCTGCCCTACCCAAGACTTCCTGTTCCTCTCCCTTCCTGCCCGACCCAGGGCTTCCGGCTCTCCCTCCCCACCCTCCCCAGGACTTCAGGCTCTTCTCCCTCCCTGCCACCCCTGAAGCTTACACAGTCGGTGGGGTTGGCAGGTTGTACTCTTGGTCCTTCATCCCAGTCAGCCAATATGTGGTCTCTGTCCCTCTACCCTATTGAGACAAAAGAAGGTCCCGTGAAGGCGCTGTTCTCACCTGCTGCCCCAGTGGTGATCTGTTCCAGGAGGTTCACCACCTCACATTGCTCATCAGGGTCTGTGTTTAAGCACATCACGTGTCCCTAAAATTTAGAAGAACTTAACAAATCTCCAAACAGGCTGGCCTTTTTTACTTTTCCTCCCTGCTCCTTTCTGTTTGTTTTTAAAATTCATTATTAATTAGTTAACTTATTTATTTATTTATTTATTTATTTATTTATTTATTTGGAGACAGGGTCTCACAGTATGGTTCAGGCAGGTCTGGAGCTCACTATGTAACTCCAGTTGTCTCAAACTCACAGCAGGTCTCCTGGTTCAGACTTCCAAGTATCCAAATTTCGGCATGAGCCACCATGCCCAGCCAGATTAGCTGTTTTAAAATAGAGTTTTCTTTCCCCCTAGAAGATATTTCAGATTAGAGTATAGCAATATTTTAAGAGCCCTACCTTAGAAACAAAGATATTCAGGCCCAAGGAGAAGGCTCATTTGGAAAGTTCCTTCTGTGAGAGAGTGGGGACCTGAGTTCAGATCACCAGCACCCCAGTACAAAGTGGGGTGCAACCCCCATTCTGGGGAGCAAGGACAGGTGGGTTCCTGGAGCTCACTGAGCAGCCAGTCTAGTCAAATCAGTGAGCCCCAGGTTTAGCGGGAGACCCTGCCTCAAAAAGCAAGGTGAGGACAGCAGGTTAGATACCTCACTGCTAAAAGCACTTGCCACGAAGGCCTGACAGTCTGAATTCAATCCCTGGACATGCATAGAGGTGGGAAGAGAGACAACAGACTCCACAGAGGTCTCCTCTGGTGAACACACACACACACACACACACACACACACACACACACACACACACACACACACACACACCCACCCACACACACACACACACACACTAGTGTATGTATAAGTGCATTTTAAAGAAAGGGAGAAATCCACCTACACAGTTCTGTGCCAACAAACAGAAATAGCATTTTAGGGGAATGATCTTGGATTAGTAAATGTACTTGTGGAAGACTCACAAAAACTGAGTGTGAGTGTGTTCTTAGACAATTTTACGTAAAAGGTGACATTTTCCAATTTGCGACTGCAATATACATGCCGCAGAATTTGAGGGTCCTAGAGAAAAAAGCACAATGTCTGGTCAGTTGCTGGCTTCAGCCCAGTTGTGAAAAGATTCTGGTAATTTTTAAAGAGCATCTGAGAGCCGGCTGGGACAACTGGTGGCGTCACAGGGCAACTGTGTTAATAGTGAGAAGCAAGGTGGGGAAGATGACTGGTGAGAGGACCCAGCTCTGGATCCCCCAAACCCACATACATGCTGGGTGGGTGTCCACCCTCCCCATAGCTCCAGCCTCAGAAGACAGACAGAAAAGCCCTGGCCAGGCCAGATATCTAGATGAGCTGGATCAGTCATCTTCAGGTCTGAATGAGAGACTCTGCTTCAAAGAACAAGGGACAGACCTGACATCAACTTCAGGTCTCTACACTGCAAGTGTACACACATGTAAGTGTGCTCTCACATATGCACATGTACACAAGAGAGAAAAGTGAGACTATATCCTTGATTGTCCAACATCTATGTGTCCAAACATCAGAATGCTCGTTCAAAGTTCTAGGACAGGCTCCAAAGCTACATAGAGAAACCCTGCCTCGAAAAACCAAAAAACCAACCAAACAAAACAAAAGTGGAGTTACAGATGGTAGTGTCCCACCATGTGGGTGCTGGGAATTGAACCTGGCTCTTGTGCAAGTGCAGCCAGCGCTCTTAACCTCTGAGCCACCTCTCCAGCTTGACAGCAATGCTTCACAGCACAGAATATCTAAAGAGCTTGCTGGAGCACAGAACAGTTCTGGGTTCACATGCATGGGTGTACGCTCTTTCTCTAGGGACGATGGTGCTAGGGGCCTATGCTGGAGGTAGGGACCTGCCTGCAGGGAGGACGGGAAGGATTCTTCGGCTTTGTCTTTTCTAACTTTCTTGGTGGAGGGTCACTTGTGGCCCACAAGTGTCTGCATGCTTGCTCACACGTCTGCAGCCTCCTTACCTTTAAGTATGTCTCCCCTCTCACTTCATACAGGAACTGGCAATCTGTTCTCTTCAGGATGGCAATAGTGGAACTGCTCATGTGGATCCTCAGGGCTGGAAATACAAACCAGATCAGTGAGATTCTTCCCATGTGGAAATCCGATATGACCATGTCTGTTTCTCTCCGATTATAGGTGTCAGTAACACCCTAAGCATCTATCTCCATCGCGGAGAAACATATATGGCTATTTTAGAATGGCACTTTAAAAACAGTGTCAGTGAGAAGAGAAAATACCACCCACGTGGGCAAAAGGGTCTGGCACTGTGTTTTTAGGGCTTTGTCACTCCTGAGTTCTGGTCACTGAGTCTCATTGCAGCTTGGAGTGGGAATGCTGAACCTGGCTTTGGATGGAGATTCTCATCCTGGGCTCAGGCTTTGGCTGAACAGTCTGCAGTTTGAAGTCCAGTGGACAGCTAAGGTGCTGTGAACAAGGTCAAGAGTTGGGCTCTGGGCTTTCTCAGCGTTTCCTTTTTGGCAGCACCATTATCCTTCTGAAAAACAAGTGATGATGGCATCCCACCCAAAAGCTTTAACAGCCACACCATGAGCCGCCACAAAAAAAAAAGTGATCAGAATGGTGGACAACCTCCGTGGACCAGACGACTGCCAAGTGCTTAACACTGCATCACCTGAGTCCTGCCCAGAAACTCTCCTGACAAGATTAGCATCTCATCCCGTGTTCACCTTCCCAGGGCCTTGAAAGTAACTTACCCTAACATACGCAGGTGGCAGCTAACACAGTTTTTATTTTAATCTAAGTCTGTTTGGCTACTGCCTCATTTTTGTCTTGATGATTTGATTTGTGGCACACGCTAAGAACAGATTGCCAGTCTAACTACCAAAATCTTGTTTTGGGTCCCGTTTTTGCCATCTTTTACCCATCATCTACCACGGCTTTTCTCCCCGCTACTGGACATTTTTCTTCTTATCACTATCCAGTATCTACTGTGTGTAGCACACGGTTCCTCAATTTTGCCAGACACATGCCTTTGTAAAATGGCAAAGACTGATCCAATCTGAAGAGGAACCTGAAACCTTTGTGCAGCAACAGATTCATAGACACTTTCTCTCTGCTAAAATCAGTTTCTAGAAAAACCAAATAAACAGGAAAGACGAATGGGAGCCACGGTGAGATTGGTCCATATCTTTCCCATTGGATACCACACAGTTACATAGATCTATGCTAAAGTTCATGGCTATTCCAGCTAGAACATTCCTGAATTCACTGCACATGGACCAAAACCACAGAAACAGTCTAAAACTGAAGGGGAAAAAAGGCTAAAACAACCAGCAGTAAATACAACAAAATCCAAAGTGGCAGTCCTGTTAACACAGGCTCAAGTCTAGCCCATGTGAGGGATCTATCGCCGTTCGCTGATACTTTGCATCTCAGCACTATGCAGTGAGCTCTTCAAATGTGTCTCCTGGAAGAGAGAATCTCTGTTCCCTAAGGAAAACAGCAATCCCCCTTCTTACGGAGGCCGGTGGACTCCATCCTAGAGGCGGTGTTGACTGTATCTCCAAATAGGCAATAGCGCGGCATCTTGATCCCCACAACACCAGCAGCACAGGGGCCTGGAGAGAAGGAAGGAGGAGGTGTCATTGCACATGGAGAATGGAGTTGGGATGGGTGAGCCTCTCTCACATCAGGTCAGGAGGCATGGAGACGTGGCTGAATATGTGTGGATCCTTTAATGGAGGAATGCACACTCTCAGGTTTTGGTTATAGCCAAGAACACTTACATTTTCACTGGACACAAAGGCACTCAGAGGTTCAGGTCACAAAAATGCCAACATTTAAAAATCAAGGGCTGTCGAGAAGGGCTCGGGGGACCCCACAGCTTGCCTGCTGTTCTGAAGTACACAACCCTGAACTCTGGATTGCTAGAAGGAACCACAGAGTGGAAGACATAGTTGCCTATGGTTTGTTTAATGGTTTTATTTCTAGGGTTGGTGGCCTATAAGGGAATGCTCAGAAGACAAGGACTTAGCGGAGTCTTCCATAAGCACTTTGGGCCACACAAATGCTACTGGATGAAGTCTCTGTCACAAGGGTGTTCTAACATGCAGAACGAAAACAAGACAAGAGTGTGCGTTGTATCTTCAATGGGTGGGCCTTGTGGACTTTGGTTCCTTAAGCATACACTGCCACAGTCTTGATGGGAGCAGCTGTTGATGCTCCTTTAGAGGAGAGTCCTTAGACCCTTATCTGAGATTGCAGCCCCTTCCGTCCCTCCCTTCTTCCCTCCGTCTCCCCCGTGTCTCCCTCCCAGCCGTGGCTCTGCCCCAGTCGCACGTGGTCTAGGAAGATGCTACAGTATGTGTATGAGGTGGGAGACCAGTGAAAGCAGGGACCCCATCTACGCAGCTATAGAGAGAGCCATCATCCCTGGGACTGTTGAGTGATGTGGTTATGTGGAATCACCCAAACTGTTGTAAGTAAACCCCATAAACTGCTCGCTGGTCTACCAAGCTAGGCGTGGGTGACAGTGCTTCTTTGGCCGGTCACTAGTACCTTGGTAGCTGCCCTGAGTAAATGTCCACAGCTCCCCAGGAAAGAAGGGTCATCGCATCAGGGTTTGTGGGGATGACTGGATGCAGAGTTAAACATCAACATGGAAACTGAAGACTGGTTTTCCAGCTAGAGCAGAGGTTCTCAACCTTCCTAGTGCTGCGGCCCTTTCATATATTTCCTTACAACCATAACCCCAATCCCCAACCATAACACTCTTTTTGTTGCTCCTTCATAACTGTCATTTTGCTACTGTTATGATTTGTAAATATCTGCGTTTTCTGATGGTCTCAGGCAACCCCCCCCCAAATGGGTCATGATCCACAGGTTGAGAACCACTGGGCTAGAGGGACTTACTAGCTCTCTGATTAGCTTTACAAAATGAGACAAGGTCTCCCCACGTCATTCTGGCTGTCTCGGAACTCACTATGTAGACTGTTGGGGGTCATGGCAAAAGTAACCTTGGACCTGTAAGAGACTTGGGCAGAAGCTGCCAGTATAAACACACCATTTTAGAAGAATAGCTGCCTTCAATCCTTTCCTCCCTGATACATAACGTCTGGGCTCATGAAGTAGCTTATAGAAGGAAAGATACATTTCATGGTCAGGTTACCTAGCAACCCTTCCCCCTTTCTAACCCACCATCTAACACCTGCACCCTGCAACCTTGGTAACCTCCTGCACCCTCAAGGACTCATGCACTGGGACATTCCTCAGCCTGGTTATCAGGCAAGTAGCCTCAAACGACCTCTCCCATTTTATTTTATTTTAAAGATAGTATTCTTTCCTTTATATATAAAAAAGAGCTTACTTTTCATTGCATGTATGTGTCCATTTGGGTGCGGGTAGGTGCACATGAACTCAGATGGTGGAGGAGGGGAGAAGAGGGCATCAGATCTCCTGGAGCTGGAGTCACAGGTGGATGTGAGCTGGCCGGCATGGCCGCTGGGAACTACACTCAGGTCCTCTACAAGCGAGTACACTTTCTTAACTATTGAGGCATCTCTCCAGCCCCAGGACTGTAGTATTTAAATGAGATATGAACAGGAGTTGGGACTGTGTGGGGGGAGGTTATAAGTGAGATAGCAGACGTTATGATTTAAATGGGAAGTCCAGAACTTCTTGCTTTCTGGGGCAGTCAATGTTTGTATACCCAGCAGCTGACAGTGCTATCCATGTATTGTTTCAAGTGTTCTCTGGGGACTGGGTCTAAATGTGTCAGGATGTGTAATGAACCCCATTTTTGGCACTCAGAATTTAAGAAGTCTCAGGTGAAAGACCAACCACATCAAGACGCTCTTGTGCGTCCTACTGTGAGTGATCCCCACTTGCTAGATCGCCCAACTCCTTACCTGAATGAACTCCAATGCGAATCCACACTGGAAGGCCAGGGAGATGCTCCAACTCAAAGGTCCCCATGAAGCTGAGGATGTCCAAGGCCATCTTGGAAATGTCTACTGCATGTCGGTTACCGTTTCTCATAGGCAAACCGCTGGCCACCACGTAGGCATCACCGATGGTTTCTACCTATGGGAACACTTTCTCATCAGTGTCTCTGCCCCGTGGGAAGACACCAGAATTGAAAAGGAGCCTGCATTGAATGCACATACAGATAGGGGTTGGGAGCTCAGTATGAGCTCAGTCTGTCCTCCTCGTCCAGGGCAGTTCTATGCTGGTTTCTCCAGGCTCTTTTTTTCCTCCCTGGTAGTCTAGTTAACTGGATGAAAAAACAGCTTTGGAAGATTTCAATCATACAAAATCGTTTCATAATTATGTGACAGTGACAGTTCTGTAAATGTTGGAATAATCTGGTTGCGGTGCTGCAGGCATGGCTCAGTGATTGAGACCACCTGCTGCTCTTGCAGAAGACCAGGGTGCAGCTCCCAGCATCCACATGGCGGCTCACACCTGCTTGTAACTCAAGTGCCAGGGAATTAGATGCCATACAGTGGCCCCCGTGGGCACCTACATGTAAGTGGTGCAGACAAGGAAGCACACACACACAGTCGTGCATTTAACAACTCAAACTAAAACTAATTAAATAGTCCGACTGACCCTCTATGATTTCAGTAATGTACTAAATTACCAGAAAAGTCATCTTTATCTCGATCATTTTTCTACACAGTATTTTACTAGCATAAAGCATGTTTACTGTCTTGTGCTGTGTTTATCACAACTCCACTGTCTCCATTTCATTTGCAGTCAGCTGCAAATGCTGTCCATTGCTTTGGAGGTGATTTGAAACTCTGTCATTTCCTCTACGTTTGTCACCTAATATTCATTTTTGCTATAATTTGTTCCTCCGTGCTACTTCTTAAAACTGGGGCTGGGGGGCATCTTGACATTTGACCTTTCTTAATTCTCCCAGATAGCTTTCATTTCAGCTTGGATTCAAACACCTCTTCAATAAGTGTTGGAGATCTATTTATTTATTTATTTATTTATTTCCGTGTGCATGTCTGTATGTGCCTATGTGTGGGTCTGTGACATACATGCAGCTGCCTGGGGAAGCTAGAAGATGGCGACAGATCCCTTGGAGCTAGAGTTACACACAGTTCTGAGCCCCCTGACTTGAGTGCTGGGGACCAAACCCAGGCCCTCTGCACCAATAGGAAGCACTATTAGTCAGTCTCTTGTTACTTGTGGGTGACAGGAGTTGTAAATAACAGGAGCAACTGTGCCAGGCTCTGGTGGCCTTGGGCTGCCCAACTGTCTCAACCTGAGGGCAGGTCCGTTACCTTGTAGACATCGTGGTGATCCACAATCTGGTCAAAGCTCTTGTAGATGTCATTAAGCATGTCCACCACCTCCATGGGGGTGCTGTACTTGCAGATAGTGGTGAAACCGACAATGTCACTGAAATAGATTGTGACTTCTTCGTACAGCTCTGGTTCCACAATGCCTTTCTCCTTCAGGGACTTTACCACCAGCCTAGATGAGGGAGCGGGAGACTACTTTTAACCTCTCTAGAGTTTTCTTGCCTTATATAAACAATTCAGATTGTAGCAACTGTCAACAGAATTCAAAATTTTGAGATTTGTAATGAATTCCAGTGAGTGTCTAGGAAGCAAAAGAACAGACTGCATATAATGTGTGTATGAATACATTGCCCAAACATGTGTGTATGTATTTGAACTTGGATGAATACTGTCTAACTCTAATACTTACACATGTCTACTTTTTACCTCTCCATTGATAATGAAATTCAAACAAGCACAGCACCATATTCAGAAGGCTAGATGAGGAATGTGTCACCCACATAAGAAACTGACCCCAAGGCTGTGAGCACTGCTTCTCTCATCAAAGCCAATGGTTCTACTCCTTTCCTGTCCTTCACGGCATTTTTGAATATCATGCCACATGAATAATGCATGCAATGTTAATTTTAATATATTTGAACCAGGATTTATTGGATATTTTGAACTATATTTGGTTCCTTTGAAAAGTAACGGCAACTATACTGAGTACAAATTGCAAGTAAGGCAAAGGATGCCAAAGGAAGCCACTGAAGAGATGGAAGGTGCAGCCTCTCAGAGCAAGGAATACAAATTGACTGGGACAAATTGCCTTTCCCATGGGTTGCCTGGGGTTGGGCACTCTCTGCTGCCATCGTGGTCACTTTGAAGGGAGCCTGAGTACAAACATGGAACCTTAGAATCAGCCATGGGAAAGTGAGCCATGGAAATGCTACAGCCATCTATGAGAACAAATCCCTCATTTTACTTTATTTCATACAAGTGTTTACTTGCATGTATGTATCTGCATTACACACGTGCCTGGTACCTGCAGAGGCCAGAAGAGGGCACAAGACCCCTGGGACTGGAGCTAGAGATGGTTGTGAACCTCCAGGTGGGCACTGGGAACTCAGGTCTTTTGCAAGAGCGGCAAATGCTCCTAACCCTAAATCTCTCCAGTCCCTAAATCTTTCATTTTTATATAGATAAGAAAATAAAGGACTGAAAAGGAAGCAAGAAGTTCTGATGATCCCATTGGACAGTGATGGGGAATGTACTGTGTATGTTCACCTTATTGATTTTTGAATAAAATACTGTTTGGCCAATGAGACAGCAAGTTAGACAGGACTAGGAGTCAAAGAGGATTCTGGGAAATGTAGTAGAGAAGTGGTGTTCCAGGCAGGAAATGACATAGCAAGGAGACTCATATTTAAGCAAGAAGAAACAGGAAGCGTCCCTTTTACCCCCCACCTCCTCCAGGGGTGGGATGAGAGCCACCAGCAAGAGAGGGTGCCAGCGGAAGGCATCCTCTATAAGATAAGTCTTATAAAATATATAGGTTTATGATAATTAATACTAAGCTAACAGAGAGAATCCTAGTCATTGGCCAAGCAGCTTTGTACCTAATATGCCTCTGTATTATTTTGTCCATCCACACGGAGGGCAGAACTCAGGCAGCTGTCGGAGACCACCCATGGGGCGGTAGGGCTCGGGAGGCTTTTGGCGGAAAGATTTATTGTAACAGGACAGAGCTGTTACTAAAACTGAGCAACACCAATTCTGGGCACTGTGAGCCTTCTGAGACCCAGACCCTGGGTGTTCTCAGGTGGAGAAGATTTGGAGGTGAGAATAACAATTACAGAATGCCTGTGAATCCCACTGGAAACCCATGCCTATCAGCCAGGTAGCCAAAGTATTATCTTTTTCAACTAGGCATTACTCTCCAGGCAAGCAATTCTGCATAATATAATAAGGTTATGTGGCTCAGGGAACACCTACCCTCTTTGACATAGAGGTGTATGTGGGGGAGGCGGTTTCTAGTGTATTCTCAGAGTGTTCTTCCAGCCTGTGTGTAGGAGCTGAATAGTCATTCATGGTTCTGATTAGGTTTTTTTCTAGATTTCAGGACCAAGTGAGGCATGTGTGTGTCCTCTATCTCTTTGCCCAGGCTAATAGAGAAGAAACTACGGAAACTACTTTTTTTTTTTTTTTAATTTGGAAAACAGTCTTTAGTATGGGAGGGGATGGATCTAGGAAGGGTTGAGAGAGGAGTAACCCGGCCAAGCCACATTACTGTGTAGTCCAGCATGGATGTCACAGGTAAATGATGGTTTCTTTTCTGCAACACTGGCCTCAGTTTCCATGGTTTTACTAGAGCTTCTCCTTACATTGAAGTAACAGCTCTCCACACATGAATGGGAAGAGACCATTATTTCTTGCTTGTACAAAGCCATGGGCCTTATTCAGATGACAGTGTTTGGAAAACATTAAGCTGTCTTGGGATTTCTATATTAGTGTCCTCTTTCTTCTGTCCTGACTATGCCATAGCATCACAAAGAAGAGGCTGATGTTGGCTCGTGGATACCTGGGAGGTCAGACACCTAATGAGTGTTACCCACCTCCTCTCTGCTATAGCTTCTACCTGTAACTTGGAGTTCTCTTGCAATATAAAGAAGAAAAGCAAAGAAACTAATGCTTAATGCCCGGAAGCACCATGGTTCATACACTGCACAGGCAGGCTTGAGTTTCTGTTTCGAGACTGAGGGCAGACAGGCAGCGACTTGCCTGATGACTGTAGGCTGTGAGCTTAGCAAGGTGTTAGAACTCACAGCCATCTGTTCAGTCCACGATTCAGAGTGAAATCAGAAGGGGGTTCAGCAGGGCACAAACATCTCCAACCCCAATAATCTGTCCACGGGTCTATAAAAGAAAGTCCTGTCCAGTGGAGTTCCAAACAAATGCAAGGCCAGACGAAATCCAGGGCAAAACCAGCCACAGTGAGAGAGGCAGGAATGCTCGTGGTTTCAGCCAGAAACCAAGGAGCCTTGGCTGTGGAACCACGGGAAGCCACACCTGCAGGAAGCTCGACTTACCGTGGGAGCAGCATGAAGTTAAGGCGGTCAGCCCTGTCCCTCTCTGCCTTGTACAGCTGGGTCCTTTCCTCCACCAGGTGTTCCAGGTTTCGAGAATACAGCTGTAGACGTCGGATCAAGGTGTCCATGTAAGATTCATTTTTTTGGTCATGAAAGAGGCTGCAGGTGGTAACAGACAAAGAGCTCTTACATATATCAGGGAAGGGGCAGGTGGGGTTCTCACCGTGTTGTGTATTATGATAATGCTTACACATGTGAAGGCATGGGGGAAAGTTCTGAGACGCCATATCATTGACAAGTCCCCACTTCTGTCCCCAGGAGGAGGTGGCTTGCTGGCGCACGCGCGCGCGTGCGTGCGTGCGTGCGTGCGTGTGTGTGTGTGTGTGTGTGTGCGTGTGCGTGAGTGCTATGGTATGGGTTTAGAGGAAGTCAGAGGGCAACTTGTTTTTTTCTGGGGATTGAATTCAAGTGGCTAGTCTTGTGTGGCAAGAATCTTCAAATGTTCTGCTGTCTCAACAGTTTCAAAGAGATTTTTTTTTTTTTTTTTTTTTTTTTTAAAAGCCCCCAGGGGCTTTTTTTTTTTTTTTTTTTTTTGACAAGCTCCCAAGGGATTTTTTTTTTTTCTTTTGTTTTTTTTCGAGACAGGATTTCTGTGTCCTGGAACTCGCTCTATAGGCCAAGCTCACCTTGAATTCACAGAGATCCACCTGAGTGCTGGGATCAAGGCGTGTGCCACCACTGCCCTGCCCCCAAGGGATTCTTACTTGACCCCACCAGTAGAGGTTAGTTGAGCATAACGGGACCAGGAGCATGTACAAAGACTAATGATAGATTGCTTAATCCCCTGTGAATAGATTCAATTAAAAGTTTAACCTGCCTCGACTGAATCTTTATCACCTGGGGAATATTACAGCTTCCAATGCTGGTTACACCCGAGACCAGGTTCCCCCTGGAGTGCTAGGTTACACCTGAGACCAGTTACATCAAATGATCTAGGGGAGAAGCCAGGTGTCACTGTTTCCTAAGGCTCCTCCGGGGATTTCACATGTGTAGCCACGTGAGGAAAACCCAGTCAAGGCTAAAGACTAGGGAGGGGCCCTGCATCTCCACGAGGGTCCGTGTCACTGATACTGCACAGCCTGTCCTCTGACACTGAGGTGACAGCTGAGGGAAAGAGTGAAAACGCAGGGATTTAATACGTTGTTATTACCCGCTCTATTCAAACAGTGGACAGTACTGTCAATCAGACCACGGTCACAATTAACTTCAGCTCCCACCCCAGCCTTGGATTTCCACCTCAGAAGGTATCTGAATCTTTGCACCTAGGATACCTCCAGGGAGTCAGAGATGGAAGGAATAATAGAAACCATCCAGCTCACTCCGATTTCATGAATGAGTAAGTTGGTAGCCTGTACGGACGGTGTTTTACCCTCTGTCCCCCAGCTAGCCATCATCGAGTCCTCCCATGGAAACTCCTAGCTCTCTTCTCCCATCTGCACTGAGTTAACCGAAAACACAAGGCACCATATGGTGATATATGGTTTAGGATCTAATAAAGCTTGCTAGGAGATCAGAATGCAAAGCTAGCCACAGACTTAGAGGCCAGCCAGTGGTGGTACACACCTTTAATCCCAGGACTCAGGAGACAGAGGCGGATGGATCTCTGAGTCCAAGACCACCCTGGGCTACACTAGAGTGAATCAGTCTAAAAAGAGAAACAGAACTCACACAAAGGCAATCTCAATACTTGGGACCCCATGCCTTTAATCCCAGTACTAGAGGGGTATATAAGACAGGAGCTGGCGTTCAGTCTCCAGCCATGATGAGAATTCTTGGAGACAGGATTGCCCGTTTAGTCTGAGGTAGAGGTAAGAGCTAGTGGCTGGCTGCTTTGCTTTCCTGATCTTCAGCTTGAACCCCAATATCTGTCTCCTGGGTTTTTATTATCTCTAGTACAGCACCCAGAACACAATATCACTGGATAACAGGTACAACCCCCCACTTTGACTTTGAACGTTGTTCTGATTCAGAAATGCAAATCTAAAGTGTCTAGGGCCAAAGCTGGTGATTTTGGAGATGTTTAAACTTGCCCACCTTGGGGTCTGGAGAGACAGCTCAGTAAGGGCCTGTTCTGGTTTTCCAGAGGACCGAGTTCATCTCCCAGCACCTGTCAGGTGGCTCACAGCCTCCTGCAATCCTAGTACAGTCTCAGGGAATCCGAAGACTTTATTGTCCTTGGGCGCCTACACACATGTGCACAAACCCACATATGCACAAATAATTAAAAATGAAAACTAGATCTTAAAAATTCTAAGAACTTGCTAATATTAAGAATTACCCATTTGGGCCAGGGCGGTGGTGATGCATACTCTTAATCCCAGCACTTGGGAGGCAGAGGCAGGCTGATCTCTGGGAGTCTGAGGCCAGTGTGGTCTACAGAGCGAGTTCCAGTACAGGCTCCAGATCTACACAGAGAAACCCTGTCTCGAACAACAACAACAAAAATTACCCATCTGGGCTTGGAGAGACAGGTAAGCAATTAACACTGGGTAATTAAGAGGGCCTGGGTTTGATTCCCAGCATCTTTGTGGCAGCTCACAACTGCCTGTAACCTCAGTCCCAGGGCCAGATGCCTTTTCTCACCTCTATGAGTACTGCATGCCCGTGGCACACAGAACACCCATACATATAAAATAAATAGATTTTAAAAAGAATTGCCCAGGAGCTTTATAGAATCTCAGGACCCAGGTTAGACTTACAGAAGGGTCTGGAAATTATATGCTTACATTTTTTTCATACAATATAGTTTGAGCATGTTTTCCCCTCCCTTAACTCCTCCCAGGTCCTCTCCATTTGACCACGCACCCCAACTTTTATGTTCCCTTGGAAAAGATTTATTTTTGACTTCTGTACGTGTGTGCGGTGGAGGAACTGTGCCCCTGAACACACTTGCCTAAGACATCCAGAAGCATCCTATCCCTCGGAGGGGAGTTAAATGTGTTGTGAGCCTCCTGATGTGGGGTTATTGGAACCAAACTTGGGTCCTCTGCAAGAACAGTATGGTTCTTAACTGAGGAGCCCTCTTCTAGACCCCAGAAGCTATTTTTAGTTAAAAAAAAAGTATGCTTGATTATGATTTAGTTTGTCCTTGTGTGTTTAACTTTGTAAGTATGTCCCTGAGAAGTGGTCAGTTTGTCTGTGTGTCTGTCTGTCTCTAATCTCTGAATCATTAGAATTTTATGTGACAGGTGTGTTACAGCCTGAGAATTCACTCCTTGGTGTCACTAAATAGCAGCTATCATTAAGGAATCCAAAACTGGGGACGAAAGGTAAAAATGTCAGCAATACCCGAATATCTTGGCTAGTGTACTCTCGATTTTCTTGAAATCCGGCCTCTTTTCTGGGTCCTCCTCCCAGCAGCTTTTGACGAGTAGATAGACCTGCAAAGAAGAAGCCAGTGGCTTAGCTCGGGGATGTTAAACTCCAGGATCAAGTCTCACAGTTCTCTTCCATGATGGGCGTGATCAAGGCAGGGGATATCTCACCAGGACCTACCATGAGGACCAGTCTATAGCTCTGTCCTTTCATGGTCTGGACCCCCCTCCCAACTCCCCCCCTACACTGAACACACACAATATCATACAATGTAACTGGTTTTTCATGGGAGTTGTTGTATGTTGTGGGATCATAAGTAATGCAGAGGCGATTTAAAGCATAAAGGAAGTTGTGTGTAGGTTGTCTGTCTGCATCTGTTCCTTCTTAAGACTTTTTCCCTCCTCTCCTGTGCCCTCTCCTTGATTTTATGATGGTCCTCACTCTATAACCCACACTAGCATCAAACTCAAAATCCCCCTGCCCCAGACTCCTCAGTGCTGGGATTCCAGGCATGAGTCTCCATGCCTGGCTTTTGAAAGTCTTCTTGAAGGACTATTTAATGTTTCTCTATGTTTTCTAAGTGAGGCATGCTACTTTTTTTGTGTTTGGTTTTCATTTGTTTTGGTTTGGTTTGGTTTTGACACAAGGGTTCATGCAGCCCAGGTTGGCCTCTAACTCATTTACTCTGTAGTTGAGGATGACCTTGAACTCCTGATTGTCCTGCCTCTACCACTCAAAGTGCAGGAATTACAGGCATGTGCCAACACACCAGGCTTAGTAAATTTTAAAACCAAATACCCTCCAATTCTTTTAGCTTAGAAAATATTATTCCTAGCTATTAAATCAGTTGTATCTGAATATTAACTCCTTATCTGCACAGATGAGAGTTTGTTGTTGTTGTTGTTTATGTTTGAGGCACAGTCTCCTGTATCCCAGGCTAGACCCCAATACCTGATATTCCTCCCTCTACCAAAGTGCTAGGATTGTAGACGTGTACATCCATACCTGGCTCATATGTCTTTTTAAATCAATAGAGTTACTTATAACCCTAATACATACATCATGTATAACCTTGCTTTCAAAAATGCAGACTATGGTGTGTGCTTTAATTGCTAGCTCTTTCCAGAACTGGGGCAGGAATAGGGCTTGGGGGAGGGGTAAGAACACCTGAACACAGATCTTTGTGTCTTAGGAACGTCACCAAAGAGTAGCCCTTCCTTGTCTGAGAGAGATGATTCCAATGCCCAATGGATAACTTCAGGTGCAGAGAGTACGGAGTCCTGGACATACTTATCATTAGATGGAATTTGTAAGTCATAACAATGACTAATGATAAAGTAAAGCACTTCTAATAATATACGAAATAATATTTGCCAGCACCACTGCAATATACTTGAGGGCCATTGTTAAGGAACAGGGTTACTTGAACTCATCATTCAGCACCTCAACAGTAATCATGGAACCTAGATGCCCACTGAGTGACTAACAGGAGGGGAGCATAAGACAGAGGGATGACTTATGTCTCAGTAGAACAGAGCGAAATGACATGAAATTTTATCATGCTGCACAACTTAAGATTTATAAATGGTTTACTCTGGAATTTTCCATTTAGTAATTTTGGACCTCAGTGATTTCTGGCAACTGAAACCACAAAGAAAAAAAAAACTGTGAACAATGGGGACTATTTGAACTTTGAACTGTGATTAGCTGAAAAATCTTGAGATAGGGCAATGATCCTGGGTTACCTGGGGGGTCCAAATGGATTCACTCACGCTCTTATTGGAAGAAGAGATGAGAACAAGCAAGACAGGGTTGAGGCAAGGATGTGACTAGGGGGCTACAAACCAAGGGGAGCCACCAGGAGCTTGTGGAGGAAGAAGGGGCCGCCTCCAAAGAACCTGGAGGTGGAGTAGAGTTTCTCTATGTGAATACATTCTTGCTGTTTCACCCACACACTTTGTGGTAGACCGTTAGAGTAGACAGATCACTGAATACCAGGAAGACTGACTTACCTCCAGCTCCTTTTCATCTACAGTTTCCAGGAACAGATCTGGGCGGAAAGGTTTTATCTCGTCTGAGTTTTCCACTCTGAAAATCTTCTCTGATTGGATGAGAATAATTACATTACAAGAAGAACCCCAGTGTGGACTGTTGAGCACATCTGAATTGGCTCATCCCTCGATGACTCTTTAGATCAACAGGACTGTGACAGAGCCTCTCTACAGATGTGAGTACAGTGGGAGGAGTCTTCTCCCACTGACAACCCAGGAGTGGCTTCACAGATAGACAGCTGACTCGTGAATACCTCAGATTTGCTTACACCAGGCTCTCTCTCCCCCATACTCCATACCCTGACTCCCAGATGCTTCAGTCACCTTGACCTCCAACACAGTCATGAGTTAGTGCATGAGTTAGTGTTCAGAGAGTGAAGACTGGATGAATGGAGCCAGGGCTTTCCTTCAGTGAGAACGTGACAGAAAACTAAGCAGTGCTCCCAATGAGAATGAAGTGTGTGTGCCGTCTCACTAGTGTGTGCTAGTCTAGCTGGTAACTAGGTATCGTCCCTTCTGTGATCTCACTAGTGTCTGCTAGTCCAGCTGGTAAGAAGGTACCTTCCCTTTTGTGATTAGGAGGAGTGCTAGAAAGATGCTTTTATTTGTTGGCGTTTTTTTGAGATAGAGTCTCATACAGACCAGGCTGGTTTTAAAGTGGTTAGGAACTCCTGATTCTCCTGCCTCCATGTGTGATGGCAGATGCCCTTCTGTATGCTGTGAATATATGTTTCTCTTATTGGTTGATGAATAAAGCTGTTTCTGCCAATGGACAGGCAGGATGTAGCCAGGCTGGAAGTACAGGCAGGGCTACCAGACTAGGAGAAAGCTGGGAAGAGGAACACAGGAGTGGGTTGCCAGGGAGACACCATGTAGCCTCCAGGAAGATAGGATGCCTGGGCATTCTCTGGTAAGCCAAGACCACACGGAGATACACAGACTAATAGAAATGGGTTAATATTTAAGAGAGAGCTAACCAATAAGAAGCCTTAGCCAATGACCAAACAGTTTATAATTAATATAAGCCTCCGTGTGTTTATTTGGGGCTAAATGGCGCAGGACTGAGCAGGACAGAAACTTCCATCTACACATGTGGTGGTTTGAAAGATAATGGCCCCCAAAGGGAGCAGCGCTATTAGGAGGCGTGGTCTTGTTGATGGAAGTGTGTCACTGTGGGGGTGGGCTTTGAGGCCTCTTTGTTCAAGCTTCCCTCACTGTGACTGTCAGTTAACTTCCTGTTGCCTGCAAGATGTAGGACTCTCAGCTACTGTCTGCCTGCATGTCTCCATGCTCCTGGTCATTGTGATAGTGGACTGAACCTCTGAAACTGTAAGCAAGCCACCCAATGAAATGTTTTCTTTATAAGAGTCATGTTATCTCATCACAGCAATAGAAAACCCTCACTAAGACACTCCTAAGACCTGTTAGGATCACAGGTGTGGACCACCACAGCTAGCAAGTGAAGGGATATCCTTTAATACTGATATGCCATGTGCATGATAACGGCATCTGGGTGAGCTCCTTAACACTGAGCCTTTGCAATCCTCATAGAATGTGCAACTCAGAGAAGGAGTCACTCCCTTAGCAGATGAGAAGCCTGGGATGTGGGACCAGAGATCTGCTGGCCAGTGAGCCCAGAAGGCTTGTGCTTGGCCATGAAAGAGGTCTGACTCACCGTTCTGGTCCCGGCAGCTCTGTGTGTAGAAAGTTTCCTTGCGTAGGATAATCTCCTGGGCGATGATCCCGAAGCTGTACACATCTCCTTTCTGAGAGACGCTGGCTTGACGCAGATGCTCGGGAGCCGTCCACAGGTCTGTGTGTGAGACATCAACAGGACAAAGTTGGGGGGAGGTGGCTTTACTTAGGTGGAAAGTTTAGGTAACAGACATCCACGAACATAAGCTCCGGCTGAGGAGGGTGGGATGTGTCTCATCTGATTTAAGTCTTGTTTCTTTGCTTTATGAACCAACATGGCACCCAACAGGTCTTTAACAAGAACTCATTAGGGCACAGGAGGATGGCCCAGTGGGCAAAGAGCTTGTGTAAACATGAGGGCCTGAGTTTGGATGCCCCAGTGGGTGGGTGTGGTGGCTGTCTGTCATTCCAGTGTTCAGAATGTGGAGCCAGATTCCCCAGGGCGAGCTGGCTAGTCAGAATGGCCGTATCTACAAGGTCAGGGTTTAGATGTGCATGAGACTGACTCAGTAAATAAAGTGAGGAGAGATTGACCGCTCCTGACATAGCCTCGGGTTTCTACTGAGCACACACCTGTATGTGCACCCAAACAATGTCATGTTAAACTTCACGGGACTGTGGAAAGAGAGGCAGAATTATAATTTTTCTTCTATTTAGGAGGATAAAACCCAAAGGATTGTGACACAGACCTTCACTTTTGGAGCTAGGAAGTATGTTGAAACAGTGAGTTCTGGACTCTGGGGCCACTTAGCTGTGACTTCTAATAAAGAATGGAGGAGAAACACCTGCCTTGCCTCATACAACCCATGTGTCTTTGTGTTCCTTTTCTGGACACCTCCCCCCCAATACTGAAAATCGTTTCACAGATTATATGTATAGGTATGAATATGTATCTTGTCGACACAGATACATGAGTGGTGATGTCCACATGGGTCTCCTCCTCTGTATGCTATCTTTATGAGCAAAACTCCAGTCTGTAATCTCTCCCGTGTCTCCTACAAAGGATAAGTTCAATGAGATGGTTCTACGGTTCTTCCCGTCCTAGCTTCCCTGAGTCTGAAAGTTCCTTCCTCAAGCTTTTCACTCATCTCAGGAGACACAGGTGAACACTGAGGACATCATCTGAGGAGGACACCTGTGGAACTCAAAGAGAGTTCCTTGAGGGGCTGGAGAGATGGCTCGTGGCTAAGAACATTTTGTTCTTCAAGGACCCTGACTTCAGTTCCCAGTGTCCACATGGCAGCTCATAGCCAGCTGTAACTCCAGGTCCAGGGGATCTGAAGCCGTCCTCTGGCCTCTGTGTGCACATGGTACACAGACGTTCACACAAGCAAAACAACATGCCCCCCCCCCATTTTAAAGCATTCATTGACTGACAGGAGGTGCTGCAGAATGAGTCAGAATGTTGCCTGCCTCATCACCGGTGTAAGTTAGGTAAAAATTTCAAAAAAGGAGAAGTGCCAGTAGAAGAGGTGCAGACCTTTTTTTGGAGGTAGGATGGAATTGCACCCGAAATCTGTGATCTTCACCACCATTCGGCTGTCCACCACACAGTTGGTTGACTTCAGCCGCCCATGGACCTCAATCTTACTGGAGTGCAGGTATGACATCCCCTGTAATTTTTCAGATGGCGGGAGAACAAAGAGACATCATATACTTTGGCAGAATGACCATTGGAAAGAAGTGATGTTTGGAATCTATTTCTCTGTATATGTTGCCCATGCTAGCCAATTTAAATTCCATGCTGTGAACCTTGCTTTAAAGGCATTGTGAAAACCGTAGTGCTTGCCTATATGCTGGGAGGTATAGTTCCATAACAAAAATAAAAGGGCAGTTGAATGTAAACCCCAGTTGAGTAGCTAGCTGCAAGCTATACAAAGCATAGGGCTTTGTGATTATTTGTGTGTGGGGGGGGCATGGGGGACAGTGGGAAGGTCAGAGGGTCAGCCTCTGGCTGTGTTGCTACTCAGGTCCACACACCTCATTATTTTTTTTTCTTAATTTGTGTTTTTATTTTGTTGTTCTGTGTTTGATGCATGTGCGCCACAGCACACGTGAGGAGGTCAGAGAACTACTTTCAGGAGCTACTTCTCTCTGCTGTGTGTTCTGGGGATTGCACTTATATATATTGTCAGGCTGTGTGACAAGTGAGTCATCCACTGAGCCATCTGGAAAGCCCCCACCTTGTGTTTCCAGACAGTCTCTCACTGGGACCAGAGCTTGCCAATTAGGCCATGCTGATTGGTCAGTGAGCCCGAGGGAATCTGCCTATCTCCTCCTCCCGGGTACCTGATGAGTTTTCCATGGGTTCTGAGAATTGCATTCAGTTCTTGTGTTTGAGAGGCAAGCACTGTACCTAGTGAGACATCTGGTCAACCCTGCCTTTATTGTTTACATGCTTTCACTTACTGTTTATATGGACTGTAGTCTCTAGCTCTCTACTGCTGTGATCTAAAAATACTGATAAGTCAACCTTACATTTGTGATAGAAATTCCACTGTGCATGACACCCAGCAGCCTGTTACACTATTCCAGGTTCATGAATGTGTACATGTCTCTTACCTTAGCAACATCATATAAAACAGAGATCTTGAACTCCCAATCCATGAATGTGCCATCTGGGTAGGAAATCGTGTCATTTAACACTTCCTGAGTAGGAGAGAAAACACATACATACAATGAAGAAGGAGAAAGACTACAGGGAAAGATGTCGGGGAGAGATTGAGTCAGATAATCCAACCACGAGGCTGTTGAGTCAGGAACAAACTGGGACACCACCACCATTGGTTTATCATCACACACTATCATGGGCTATTTGACAGAGCTACACTCTGAGAAGTATGTTAGACGATTTTGTTGTGTGACTGTCATGGTGTCCTCACACAAACCTAGGGCCTAGGACCTTCCAAGTCCAGGCTATGGGGCACAAAGCCTGTAGATCATTGACATGCTTAGTGCAGAATGGTATTCTCTCCCACACTCGGACACAGGCACAGGCACAGGCACCGACACACACACACACACACACACACACACACACACACACACTCTGCCTCTCTGTCTATATCTGTCTGTCTCTCCCCAGTCTTGCTCCCAGGGTCACGAGGAACAAAACAACACAAGGATAAATCAAATACCATAAAAATGACTCAGGGGTTTTAAACAGGAGAATTTCTACCAGTTTGAGGTCAGCCTGGGCTCTGTAGTGAGACCCTCTCTCAAGAAAGAAAAAAGAAAAGGAAGGAGGTGAGGGAGGGAGAGAGGAAGGAAAAAGACAGATGTATTGTGTTGCTGGCTGACAGCATGCTGTTCTTCATCAAGTTTTTGTTTTGTTTTTAAATAAATGGAAGTATATACTAAAATAACATTGCAGGACAGTAACCAAAATAACAATAAAGCAACAGTACAGTAAATACATAAATCAGGAACACAGCCACTGATTGTCATTATCAGATATGCACTGTACTTGGGAGGTGGAGGCAGCAGGACCAGAATTTCAAAGGCAGACTGGGCTACATATTACTTGGATGTTAGCCTGGGCTTGGAGACTGTCTCAAAACCTCCACACAAACAAAACAGGCATTTGGTGGGTTTCCCCACCAGGTAGGGAAGAAAGATGAGAAGATGCTGCCTGGAGACTGGCCTTGGGGAGCCTGTCCTGCCTGCTCCATCTCACGAAGACCAGCTGAATGTATTTGTTTTGTATGTTTTTAAACACTTTGCTTTTGAGGCAGGGTCTCCCTTGGTAGTCCACAAGACCTGAAGCATCCCACTTATCTGGCACACACAGCACGGAGGTGGAACTCCCTATGCTGCTCAAGTTGTGATTCTCCTCATCTGCCTCGGGAGAGTTGGGATTACAGGTGTGCCACCTCGCCCAGCTGCACCAGTGTTTTTTAAGCAGGAATTGCTGCTGGGAATTCCTTCCTTCGTTAGGCTCCTGCCTCTACTCAGTGTTAATTACTTCAATTGACTTAATTGCTCTGGGTTTTAAGTCAGCTACAATCTCTGTCCCTAAGGGAGCTCTTGGCTTTCCTAGGAATTGGAGGCAGGAGGCCTTGAACTAACCTAACATTGCAGTGGTTGCTATAAAGATGCAGGGTTTTGTTAAACCAGTAAGCAACTGTTTGCAGTATAACCTGGAGGAGAACAACTGTTTCTTGTTTTAGGAAAAAGCCTGATCAGAGTCTTGGTTTAATTTGGGTGTGGTGCCAATCATTTCTCAGGAGGTTCTTGAGTTATTAGTCTTTTCAGATGAGGCTGTGGGGGCAGGAGGGGTTTTGAGGAGCTGGACTGAGGTAACTCTCTCCTTTCTCCCTTTGGTTCATCTCTTGCCCACCCTAGCCTGCTGTCCTCTGCCAGCATGCACTGTTGGGCAGGACTCTGTTTCAAATAAAAAAAGAATACATGTATTGAAGGGCCCAGGAATATAAAAAAAAAAATGGTACACTTATAGCCTGTGTGCATATTTCTGATTGTTGTAGGGCTGATAGTCATTTTGACCACTTGCCCTGCATTCTCCCAGGCAAATGAAAGGCGATTTAAACAAACCCGTGACTATGTAAACATTTTGAACTACCCTGTAACCAGAAGTTGAAAATCCCAGAATCCCCTTCAATCTCAAATGTGCCTGGAGAGACACCAAGGCACCTGGAATGCTAATCCCAATATGTACTCCCTGCCCTGTTTATAAACTTTGGCTATAAAAAAGGAGCTTGCAGCCCTTTCTAGGGATAACAGAGTCAAATTATTCTCTGCAGTCCTAACTAGTTAGAAGTTGTGGTCCCTCCTATCCCTGTCTTGCTGTTTTTGAATAAAGTCGCTTCTGGTTAATAGACTTTGGTAGTCTGTTTCTATTATTTGTACAATTCCTGGACCCAGCAGTATCTTTCATAAAGTGTGAACAGAATTTTAAAAAATATCCAAAGATAGAAAAGAAAACCACCGCTGGCTGCATGGCCTGACCTATTCTCATTTAGGGATTTCCCTACTATTCTTTAATGTATATTCTCATAAAGCACTCACCCCTGATCTAGAAAGTCAGATACGAAGGCTCAAGAGCCACTTCCGGTGCTATTTTAATAGTTCCAGCTGTTAAAGGCTGGGAAGGGTTATTATTATTGTATTCATTTTCTCAGTATATCAATTAAAGTTGTCACTTTCAGGTCCATTAACATGACCTGAAGGATGAGGGGCTGGTAGACTGGGTAGACCACTTGCGTGCAAGCGTGAGGATGAGAGTTCAGATGTGATGCCTAGTAACTGCATAGACCGCAGGCAGCCACAGGGACCTTTTGTAATCCCAGCGCAGGGGAGGCTGACTCAGCCTGGAGCTCGCTGCCTAGCTGGCCTGTTGAAATCCATGGATTCTGGTTCAAGTGAGAGACCCTGCCTCAGTATATAAGGTGGGGATCGATCAAGGAAGACTCTTGATATCAGCCTCTGACCTCCACAATACACACACCACACACACACACACAACACACACATAGCACTCATGTCACACATACAACACATACACAATACACACACAACACATATACACACACAGCAACATACACACACACACACACCACACACACACATCACGAGATCATATCACATACACAATTTGTATAATACTTTATCTTAATTTTACTACACGTAGAACTGACCAAGTTCTATTGCTTGTGTCTTGTTCTGTATCCAACTAGTTTAACAATACAGCCCAATTTAACATTACAGCATGTCATTGATATTTCCCTGCGTATGTTCACAACTATGGTTTGGTTGTAGTCAGTTGTACAGTCAGTCTTACACTAGCCTCCTTAAGTGGTCAATGAGTCTGGAGGCTGTTAGCTTTTGTTTAACTTTCAAGCAGTATTTGCACAGACAACAGGAATTAGCAGTCGGGTTTAGAAGAGTTAAGCTGACAGTCTTTCTGTGGGAATTGCAATTTAGTCCTTTCTTGTTGGTGCGATGATGTGATAAAACAGGAGATATGTTTGGTCTTCCTGGGCCTAGTTCCTAGCACCCAGCTTCTAAAACCCCCGTCATTTCCTGACAGAGGAAAAGGGAGGAGGGAAGAGACAGAAGAGCACTGGTGTCCATTGTGATGAGCACTTCTAACAGGACAGTGTGTGCTGCCAATTCTCCAGAGACCTCCACAGCGCACCGGGCCGTTACCTGAGCCGGCCCCTCAGCCCCGCCATTGCCTGCACCCATGTCTTCAGTGTGCTCAGTGGCTTGAGGGTCCTAGCTTAATGCTCGCTTCTTCTGGAAACTTGACCCAGCCCCATCCTACTCTTTCCCAGCCGTGGACCTGCTCATCCTGAATAGCAGGGCCTATCCGCCCATGCTGAGTCATCTTCCACACGTGCTGAGAAAGAGTGGGGTGAGACCTGGATGGAGCAGAAGCAGGATTTACAACAGCTCATCTGATGCCATCTGAGCACCTGTGAAGTAATGTAAAACGTGTCTCAAAGCAGCTCCCCCCTCTTGGTTCCTGTGTCTATTCTGCTATCCTGAATATTTCCTGCTTGCTCCTAATGGTGCCATAGGAAGGAGTGACGCAATCTGGTGGCTCTGATCACTATTCCTGACAGCTCTCTGATGTCATTTCATTGAGTACAATTTTTAATTTGTTTTATGTGTATGAGCTTTTGGCCTGCGTGTGTGTGTGTGTGTGTGTGTGTGTGTGTGTGTGTGTGTGCATCTCATGTGTGCGGGAGCCCATAGAGACCAGAAGGGGGCGTCAGATCCCCTGGAACTGGAGTTACAGGCGTACACCGAGCCATCTCCTGCACTTTTTTTCTTTTCTTTTCTTTTTCATATGGTGGACCGCTGAGGCAATAGGAAGTGATGGTGGCTCCTTACCCGGAGGGACCCTCTCTCACAGTATTCAGTCACCCCAAAGATCCTGGTGTCCAGCTTGACGGTGCCGTAGAACTTGGTCAGGTTGTAGTAGTCCGACTGCAGCAACTAGGAGAGAAGGCGACTAGGCTGTTTACAAAGCAAAGCCGAGGGGGTTGGGACCAGCAGGTGGGAGGGGTAGGGAGTGGGGGAGTGAACTGGCCACTAGGCTGGTCACACAGCAAAGCGGCAGGGAGCAGGTGAGGGTGGAGGGTGCCAGGGTGGAGATTTATGCACAGTGAAACCGGCTCCCTTTGGGTTCTTTGGGAAGAAGAGCCCCACGGAACGGCTGAGTGCCCGCGTCTCCCTTTCTTTCCCCACTCCACCACACTGAATAACATTCTAAGTACTTTTACATAAAACCAGGGCTGTGTGGCAGGGCACGCCAGGCCTCACTCTAAGCTTCCCATTGCAGACGGTCAACAAGAAGGCAAGCCACCCTTTGCTTGCCTGCGGGTTCTCTGTGGGCAGTGGCGCCGCCGGGGACCTCAGTGTCTGGGGAAATGGGATGCAGCTTTACCTTGTTCAGTTCGATCTTCTGCTTCTCCGTGAAGTTGCCATCGCTGTGCTTGAGGTCCTTCAGAATCACTTTCTGCCGAGATCAATTGCGGAAAAGGGGGGATTGATGTAGCGTGAGTCTTTCCGGACAATCTCCCACCAACCGAGCCACAGGCAGCACCGTGCAGTTCCTGAGGTGCTTATCGCAGAAGTTCGAGCGCAGGCCCCAGGGCTTGGCTAAGGCTTCCGGCTCTGGCGCCCGGTAACAGGGATGTAGTGGGCTGGGACTTGAACATTCCATGTAGAATGACCAGGGGAAATGGAAGGGAGGAAGGGAGGAGGTGGGGGAGGAGAAAACGAGGAGAAGAAGCGGGAAGGAAAGAGAACAGGAAGGAAAAACGAGGAAGGAAGGAAACGAGGAATCCCTGATAGGGGATTCTTGAGAATGAACCAAAGTATAAGGGCTTCCCTGAGGGACCCCAGCCTCTTGGTTCCTCTTCCTGCCTGTTCTCCACTTCTCACAAGAGTGTTTCTTTTGTTCTTCCACGTCCCCAGAGCTCTGCCTTCCATGCGACACTCTTGCAGCTACCCGGGCACCTCTGCC